TTTAGATTCAGTTCTTACACTGATGTTTTACCCAGAGCTTATATAATTAAAAGAAAGACTGCTGCATTCTCAGACGTGACATCCTATAATCTGACAACTAGAGATCTAATTAAAATATTCTTTCATATTCACCTCTTTTTTCAAGTGATTCTATTAAAATTCTGTAATCGATCCTTCGTCCATGCCAAGTCTACTGAAATCACAGATTTATTATTATCAGACTGGCATTATCATGAAATTCATCTTTACTGATTTATTTTATTTGTCTTTCTCATATAATTTAATAAAATTTATTTTAAAATGTCTTTGAAAAAGGCCTGAACTTTGTTTATTTCTGACTATCATTCTTTGTCTGTGTTTCTTTCTTCGTTATTTCTTGTGGTAGAAGGTGTCAAGTCCGTATAAAAGTCTGTGATTGTAATGGGAAGTGACTGAATATGAGCCATTTTTCGGTTTCGTCGCTAGCTGATCTTCACCCTTCCGAAATATTTTATTTCCCTCTTCGTCCTCTTCGTAGCTACATGAAGATTTCAACTCTGTGGATTGTTGTCCCACCACAGCGACTTCAGCTGGCAGCCATTTTCAACGGGACTTATACTGAGCGATGTATTTTATTACTTGACAAGTTAGTTTCTTTTTCAGACGAAATGAAAAGTCCGCATTCAATTCACCACAACGACCTTTATTTGTGGTTCCCATTGCTGTTATTTGCTCATCTTTCGAAAGGTACTTAATCGTAGATCAACTTTCTATGCCGCTAGTGATCGAACTTCTGTCCTTTTTCAGTTTCCCACTCGTGACTGCTGCTTCTGCAAATTTACGACAGCTTTTCTGCACGAGCATACGCTTTGACCATAAGTAAGGTGTCCGTTGGGGCAGTATATTGCAGTATGATTGTAAGTGTATGCATAGAATAAGATGATAATGAATTACTTAATCATTTGACAACAGTCTAGAGGGGGCACGCTATTTTTAACACGACTGTCTGAGGTCTGTGCATTCACGTGTCTTTAACAAGGGTATTAACTGGTTGACTAACGCTATTATAAGCATTAAAAGATTTATGTTGTTGGCCTGCTATACTTTTCTCATCATTCCGCTCATTTAATCCGCTTTTCTTTGGTCACTCTAACATTTCTATGTTGCAAAGTACAATTTATTAAATGTCTCGTTCCTTTTATCCATCTTCCTCATACTTTCTATCTCTTACGTCCACATATTCTCCTCTACCTTGTATTCAAATACCCTCAGTCTTTCATTATGTAAGGAGACCTGAATTTTACATGTAAATTATAGATAGAACAGATACAATTTTATTGTACGTAATTTGATATTTTACTTTTAGATGGGAGGTCGGGAGATATAAGATTTTACACTGGAAATAAGTGCTTTAAATTAACATGTTCTTAAATACAATTTTCATTTTTGAGTATAAGTTGAGAAATATTTTAAACCTGCAGTATTAATTGATGCAATTATTCATTAGTAAGCTTCCGTCAATTCTGTGAGGAAAACAATGCCTATAAATAATTTGCACGTCTGCAAATTGCATTTTTTTGTTAGAACATTAGTTGACAAATAGCAAATGACAACTAATATATTACGGCCAATACATCAGTGGATTATTCGCAGTAATTACAGAATTTTAGAACATCTTCATATCTGATGCGTGCTACTGTGGCCGCAAGAGGTCACTGGGTGAATATGGTGTCAGTAAGAACGGGGAGCCACAAGGAAATAATAACAACACCGAGTCCGTCTTAGGACGCGGCTACACACAACCACACATCGTTGAAGTTTGTGGTTTCGTTCAGTGTGCAGGAGTTTCAGCCCATGCCATTAGTGAAAACACAACGGAAACACTCAGAGCATCCAGCAAACATTGCTGACCGCTCAGTTTCCGACATTGTACAATTCACTGTTTAACAACAACGGATATACGTATGGATGTTTATTTTAATTTGTGAAGTTTCAGGATATTGGAAGGTGATAAATAATGCGAATTTCTTAAACTGTCTGTCATAATTAGTGTTTATATTTTAAGCAGATCTTGGGTGCTGTTGTATCTGATATATGCATCTCAAGAGCTCTTCTGTGTGAGATTACTTTATACTGAACAATTTCTTGAAATTATGTCTCTTTTTTGTTATTTCATTTATGGTGTAATTTCTGTACTAGCACAACTATACGAAAAGTGGAGAGGCACGGTTTTCAAGGTCATATAAGCGTAGACCGTGCACGGGAATTTCGTTGGCAACACAGTGTAGATCAAGCAAGATAGCGCCACATCACGTCCTGCTAGAATAAGTACGGAGAAGTTTGCTTGAAATGTTTCTCACGGTTTCTATTTAAACTGGCCACCAAGATCTCTTGATTTTACAGCCCTCGACAATATTTGTAGGGTTATCTTAAGAGTCGTGTATTCGAGACGCAGCCCGTCACTTTGGATGAACTCCAGACCATTATCAGAGCAGTGATTCATGACGTGTTACACGCGTGGTCGATGGTTTCACTAAACGTCTTCATGAGTGTATCACTGCGGGAGGGGGAATTTACTGCATTCCGTTTTCAAAAAGTTAGCAGTGTTTGTAATATGTCATATTTCACAAAATTTCTGCCTTTTGATAATATGTAATTTTACATTATTTTCTCACTAGAACAGGATTTATTTTCAAATGTAAATAGTCTTCTCTGTCGCATTCTGTATATATGTTGCGGGGGGGGGGGGGGGGGGGGTTGCCTGTTATTCTGTAGCCAGGGGACGTCTTGACGACTCGAGGGTGTTTGATCTCCGCGCCGTGTGATTTCTCTTGTGGCTGTCCTCTGTTTTTCTGTCGTGAAAATAAAGTGTCTCTTCGCGGTAGCGAGGTTGAGTAACAAAGGCCAGAGGATCTCTACGCGCCTCTTGGTAGCAATCGACCTACGTGCAGACAGAACGACGTTGCGCGTCCCTAGCTTGTAAGACGATGCACTGCGAGCGAGTAATCTGTTGTACTCTGCCTTTCCTGTACTGATTACCTTCTGCCTGTCTTGCTTTGTGTGTGGCTGACGTGAATTTGTGACTGTGAATCTGATGTATGGCTACAGAAACGTAGCATATGATGGACATTTCTCTCCCCTGTTCACTGCTATGAAGCCGATACGAGTGTAATTAAATTTGGTGTAGAAAGGGTAGGGAAGAGAGTACAAAACCCCTTTGTTGTTTACATTTGGAGTTGTTTGAAACGCAACAGAATTAATGTCACTGCCATGAAAATTACCACTCTTCGTCACCACAGGCCACATATCTCACAAACATACAAATACCATGACACAGCGGTAATATGCGATATGGTTATTCAATCTGATCAGATACTCAAAATGTAATTTATAACATTGATACCTCACCCCAAAATTGACCTATTTAATGTGATATAAATCGATTTTCTGTCTAGTTCTTTCATAAAAATTAGATTGGGGGAGCTACAAAGTTACACGCCAGGCTGCGAGCATGAAGTAATATGGTGGCCATCTTGGCTGTCTGACAGAATAACCTGAAGGTCATCACCGTTAACACCAATGGCCGCCATTAGACACGATACTGAACGAGTCCCATCACACTTCCTACTCGGTTTTACAATAAGTTTGCGCTCAAACGTTGTCTGTCCCATCAGAACTAGATACTCAACACATTGTTAGCATTTTCTCTACTGTTGTATTATCAAGTGAACGCGTTGTGTGATTTCCTAACCCACGAAGTTATTTGACGGCTGTTAGCTCATACGTAGTTATTTTTATACACGATCTATTAATATAAATATAGTGTACAATCAAATTTAAATTACTGCTTTTCTTGTCTGCACTCAACAATATCTGATGCTCATCCAGTTTTCTACCTCACGTTTCATGTAATTACATATTTAATTAATGCTTCAGATATACCTATAAAGAGTTAGCTCAGTTACAAACAACATTTGTAGTTCAAATATACTTTGTAATATTGCACCTTAAAAGGTAATCTAAAATTAATTTGGTATACTACAAATTTTGTGAGCTGAAGGAACATTTGCTAATAAGACAGACACGCAGCCAACAAGGGAAAATTATTATTCAATACTCTTAGATTTCTTTCTTAGCTGCAGAGTTAATAACAACGTTACAAAGAAGATTGCTTCATTACAAATGGAATTTCCACCCCCTACCCAGTTTTAAACTGGTAAACGCACACGGGGGGGGGGAAGTTAAAATAATGTGCAGTTTGCGCAGATTTAGATGGCGTACACTGTTGTTAGACTAGTAGTCCTAATTATGTTGAAGGCAGTGTGGTTTCTGCAAACATTGCGTGAGGTAACACGAGTGTATTTTATGGAAACCTACAACTCTTATCCATAGCAGTATTTTCTTACTAAGATATGCCTACAAATGCTTTAGATCCCTGAGTAAAGTCGTTTTTTAAACGGATTTAAGTGAACGAACGCTCCCATAATAGGACAGCAGTGTACAGAGTTTTATCAAAATGTACAAGACATAACGTAAACGGCCTGCGTAAAATTCATTTATGGCGAACCTAAACGTGGCCTTTAAAATAAACAGAACTGAATAAAAGTCTGAACTTTGTGGTAGATCGACACTATAAAGTTTACTTAAAATCTGTCTGTGAGGGTATGGACTCTATTAATTTAACTTACGAAGATATGAAGACGGCTGTCTTATGGGATGTTGCGCCGTGTAGTCTGGTAGTTTACACGCGTTTTAGAGGTGCTTTCTGCCTCCATCATTATGCCCTGATGATTGAGAAGGAATCACTTATTAAACGTCGGTGGACTTCTACCAGACTACATGGCGCAACATCCCGGAAGGTAATCATTCATATTCGCCGCCGTGAGAACCTGAAATCTTATCTTGTGAACACGATAATAGACTTTCCGGTTACATAAGAAGTAAGTAATTTCTTGACTAACTGAGCAATTATTCGCTTCTCAGGGATTCAACTCTTTCGAGTTCACCAGATTGGAATCTGTCACTTGAGGGCTCACATGAAATTAACAGGTACGTTTATATATATATATTTGGGACGAATTTTCCAGAAACCAGATAACTGTCCCGTAATTAAAACTCCACGTTCAGTTAAACAATCCAGTAGTCTTTCATCTGTTAAGTTACAGATTTTCTGAACCACACACTTCATAACTTGGAGATAGACCCGTTATGCACTATAATGAAGCTCTGAGGCGTTGATCACTGCAGTTCATCCCGTAACGTGATTAGGTGAAGCGAAACGGTAAGAATACTTTTGTCTTTTTTCGTCTCTACTTCTCGTCAGTTTTTATTAAGTTTTGTATCGAAACCATTACTGAATCGTAGTCCTATTCTTAGACATTAATTAGATGTTTTGTTTTATTTAATTAAAATAGAAAAGGCATCCCTTGCAAAATTTAATTACAATCTTGTGGATTTCATGGCACTGAGCATGACAGAGAGGTCCATTATACGCAAGGTTTCTCTAGTCACTGTATCCAGACACATAAAGGTTAGGTTTGTACGGCCCATACCTACATAATAAGCAAGTGATTTTAGCTCGGTTATCATTTGCTGTTATGGGATTCTGGGCCTTATAGGATAATATTTATGACTGTGTGTGTTACAGTTGCCATAGTAATGATGGAAAGAGGTTTTGGTCCTTATTCAATAATTGGATAAATGTACTACTTTCGATTTTACCGATATTCTTCACTGGCCGTTTGTTAGTATGAGTATATAGACCTAACCGATTTTATTATGCGCGAGGAATAATACATTTTAGATACAGTCGTTCGTAGGCAGAAATAACATCATCATCATCGGTTTTATTGTGAGCATTTTGAAGCAAATTTTTTTAAAATTAAACAAAGAAATGAAGACAGCGTAGTTCGATTCAAGTATACGGTATAATTGCGTACCAGTCAATCAAGCACTTACAAAAAAGTTACCAAGAGTGAGATTTCACTCGTAAAGTAATTTCCGTTAGAAACTTCACATGGAGCAAAAGTGATTGGGTGATGACGGTGGATCGGCATTGCACAGGAAATTGCTTCTTTTGCCGCTAGAAGCAGCCAGGAATCTGCCAAATGAAGGAAAGCGTGATGCCTTTGTTTCAAAATTGGCTGATGTAACATGGCTACTAGAGTTAAGAAATGCATGGGCATTATTTTCGAACGAAATCGTGTGAAGCAGTTAAACAGGCATGTCTTGCGGACTTTCCTGATGCTGCTGTACCAGCTGAGTCGACTATTTTTCGACTTGTTAAAAGGCACCGGTCTTTGCAGAATTTTAAGAGTATTGGACAGGTGTCCTATTTTCCAAACACGTTCTTTGCTAATTTGCTTATGCCATTTCATTGCAGATACTGAACCTACTGTTTCACAGTTTACCACATGCAATTTGCGTGAAGTAGTCGAAATTTTCTTAGATCATTAAATTTTTAGCACAGTGTAAACAAAATTGGTCGCTTCTAAAAATATGTTTGTTTGTTATGCATAACTTATTAATTCCTTTTAGCATAGAGGTTGTTGATAAACTGTAGTAGTCATTTAATAAGGATATTTTTTCTGTCTTATGTAAACCGAAGGTTCATTGCCGTGTTTACAGAACCAGCCATTGAGTATGTTCTGAGCCAGATGATTACAGTCTACA